TGACTCCCTCCAAGTCATTGACTTCAAAATATAGAAGTAATATTAAATAATATATAAATTTGGTGCAGACATTTTGTGTACTAAAAGAATAAAAACCATTTGAAAATACGAGAAGGGTTTTCGGACGAAGTTGGTAGGTGAGATTAAATTATAAAAAAAAAGAAGAAAATCTATACCTACCATTCAAGATTTAAGACCAACTTACTTCTTCTGGGGTTGAATATACAAGATTAAAAAATTGAGGGGAAGAGAACATAAAGAAATATATATATATATATATATATATATATATATATATATATATATATATATATATATATATGAAGGGTAAATTACAACCACCCCTGAGTAATGGTCAATTTACAAAAAAATCCCTCAACTATGATTTTTCTTACACCTTCCTCTTATGGTGTCAAATTCAACATAATCATCTAGATTTCGTGGAATATGCTATAGTTTGTACTCGTTTTGTGTAAAAATGCAGTTTTTTATGCACCACAATCTGATATATACAAGCCAAAAAATACATATTATGATCATCTTGCTTCATAATGTGGAGTTCGAATGGGATAAAACGGGTACAAAAGTGATAATATTCCATATAATCTCGAAAATTCCACTAAATTTGAAACCGCAATGGTGGACGTGTAAAAAGATTTATAATAAAGAGATAGTTGTACTTACCCAAATAAGAAGGGAATTTTCGTAATTTGACCATACCTCTCGGGGTAGTTGTAATTTACCCATAAAAGAAGTAGTGTTTGCATCGAAAATAACCCACATATCACACTAGACACGTGCGTTCAAAAATATCAATTTTAATTCGATAATTCAATTTCACCCTTATTTACATATTCCCCACTGTGCAATCATTTCAAAATTTTCTGAAGAAAATCAATCAATATCTGACTTAAAAGTTGTTGAATCGTGTGTATGCTTAGATATAATCACATTTTTTTTTATTTTTTGTCTGTGCTTAGATATTATGGTAAATTATTAAAAATCCCCTATACTTGGATTGAATTACAAAAAACTGTCCCTATTTATTCGTAATTATGAAAACCCCCGAAGTTTGTTGTGTCTTACCCATTTTTTATGGAATAATTTTCTTTCCAAGGAATATTCCCCAAAAATGTCGATTTTACCCCTAAGAACAGTCTCTTAAATGTAATTGGCCTTGGTATACATTTTACAGTAACATCATTTTCTTTAACATCACATTGCAATATCACTAAATTTCTCGGATTGCTAATATGAACCTTATAGCATATATAAACAAATATTTAAACATATGTGCATGACTATCTTCAATCTGTTCCACTTACACAGGGGTAAAATTGGCCTTTTTTGGGAATATTCCCTGAAATCAAAAAAGTTTCCGTAAAATTTACACTGTAAGAGGGTCGATGTAAGACATAAACAAATGTGATCTCAAATAAGAATATATTATTTTGTATTTTTAATGGAAATAAGACCATAGATTAATGATAGTTATATACCTAACCCAACTCAAAATTTAATAAATTCCAAATGTGTTTTCCTTACTCGCCACCTACCCCAATAATCATTAATCAAATCAATCATTTATTGTAGCAAATAGCAATAAAAATGTGCATACATCCATGTAAAATTTAATGTTTAAAAAATACTTTCTTATTAAAAAAAAAAATGGTTTAAAAATAAGATTGATTTGCCCGGGTAATATCCGACGAACTTATTATCTAATAATTACTTTGTCACCCCAGAATTATTTAATACCAATATTTTTTCCCGGTGCAATGCAGGAATAACACTTTAAAAGTAAAAAAAAAACGATTAATTTAATACATGACAATAAGAATTATAATAAAAAAATGAATGATTACAATTATATTTTATTATAATAGTGTAATATATATTTTATTGTAATTGTTATTGTCATGTACTAAAAAATACATAATTAGTAAAGAAGAGAGCAAAAAAAAAAATTTACAAAATTGCCATTAGAATTTCTTAAGTTACCTAGTCGTTAACTCATTTTATATAAGATTACAGAATTTCAAAAGCATTTTTTTAGGATAAATTACGAAAAAGACCATCACCTATCCGTAATAACCAAAATCCTTCTCTGATTTAACTGTTGATCGAGTTTTTTAACAGAAAATGTGTACAATTTGTTATTATCTTCTGATAAATAGGTGACGAATAAAATAAATTATCTGAAATTGTGTAAAGTCTATTCCCTGAAATAAAAAAAATCCTTGAACAGTCACGCTGTAAAGGGTTGGTGTAACACGGAAACAAACCTCAGGGAGTTTTTGGTAATTACGAATAGATGGAGGTGGTTTTTGTAATTTAATCTAAGTTTATGGGATTTTCGTAATTTACCCTTTTTTTTTTAAAATGGATTTATGCACCGTTACTATTTTCAATTAATTAATTCAAGTGAAGTACCAAAATTAGTGGACACTACTAAATTAGACCATTTATTAAACAAAAGTCAAATAAAAACACACACAAACACACACTCCAACTAACCACATTTCACCACCACAATATATATACATATATATTCCACCTATACATACACACAGATACTTTCAGCAGCCCCCCTCCACCCACCGTCAACAATGGCCGCCGCAGCACTCATCGGCGCCTGCATCCTCGCCATCTTCATCGCATACAAACTGTACCAGCGCTTCCGCTACAAGCTGCCCCCCGGCCCCCGCCCCCTGCCCTACTTCGGCAACCTCTACGATCTGAAACCCCTCCTCGTCCGTTGCTTCACCGACTGGTCCCAAATCTACGGCCCGATCTTCTCCGTCTACTTCGGCTCCCACCTCGGCATCGTGGTCAACTCGCCGGAGCTCGCGAAGGAAGTATTGAAGGACAAGGACCAACTCCTGGCCAATCGGAGCCGGACACATCAGATCAACAAGGTCAGCAAAAATGGCATGGATTTGATCTGGTCCGACTATGGGCCCCACTATGTGAAGGTGAGGAAATTGTGTACTCTCGAGCTTTTCTCGGCGAAGAGAATCGAGGCGCTCCGGCCAATTAGAGAAGATGAAGTTACTTACATGGTGGAATCCATGTTCAACGACTGCGTTAAGCCTGGTAATTTCTGTAAATTTCAGATCTTGTTCTAATTTTTTGAAATTATGCTGTTGATTTTTTTTTTGTTTAGATTAGGGTTTGTTTTCGAGGTCGATTGATGAATGAATTAATTTAGTTGCAAGGAATTAAATTGATCTGAAATCTTCCTTTTTTTTCCCCTGTTTATATATGCTGCATTTCAGAATAAACAAACCTGAGGGGGTTTTTGGTAATTACGAATAGGTGGGGTGTTTTTCATTATTTAGTCTAAGTTTAGGGGGTTTTTGGTCATTACGAATAGGTGGGGTGTTTTTCGTTATTTAGCATAAGTTTAGGGTTTTTTTGTGATTTACTCTTTTATATATCCATAGAGGGTAAATTACACCTACACCCCTAAGGTATGCTAAAATAACTTAAATGTCATTGTGGTATTAGTAATTACAGTCGTACCCCTAAAAAAATTACCGAACTAACATTTCATGTCCTGGGATCGATGCGCACGATATGTGTTTTCCAAGGGGCCGTTAATGCTACCGTAGATGAAAATATATAAATCTTATATAAAATAATAAGGATTTTAGAAATGTTAGGAGAGCCATGTTACCACTAGCTCTATGTTGTCTCCACCCTGCCTGAAACTAATAGTCCGTTAGAACCCTTATGGAATAACTTATCCAATACATTATTCCCTTAGGGTTTCTAACAATGTTTCAGGAGGTGAACTGTAATTACCAATATTACAGGACCTTAAAGTTAATTTAGTATACCTCGTGGATGTAGGTGTAATTTACCCTATGAGTAATACGCACACATTCGAAGTTAGTTCAACTGCTAATTTAAAACGATTTTTTTTTTCGGAATCAGAAAACAAGGGGAAAGCGTTGGTTCTACGCAAGCACTTGGAAATGATGGCGTTCCTTCACATAACAAGGTTGAGTTTCGGAAAGAGGTTCATGGACTCAAAAGGAGTGGTCGACGCGCAGGGAGAAGAGCTGAAGGACATTCTAAACAGCTCGATTAAACTAAGCAGCAAGAAATCGATCGCGGAGTTTATTCCGTGGCTGCTGTATTTGTTCAAGGCCGAAAGCGAGGCACTAGCCAAGAACAATACTCGTTCGGATGACTTCACGAAGAAAATCATGGAGGAGCACAATCTCGCACGCCAGAAAACGGGCAACACGAAAAGCCATTTCTTCGATGCTTTGCTTACTTTGCAAAAGGAGTATGACCTCGTCGAGGACACCGTTATTGGCCTCCTTTGGGTAAGTATAATATAATCGACTGTTTTAAATAATTCATATTCTCAACTTAAACCGATTTTTCTTTTCAAGAAAGAACGTGGAAATCGATATTTTCCTTTTTAAGTTGCATTTGGATGGAAAGATTTGAATTCATACTAACGAATTCATTGTGCTTGTTCGCATTGATTCACTTAACAATGGATTTCGAATCCTTAATTCTCAATTGCAATTAATTCTTGCGTTATTGTGGTGGATTTCGAATTTATTGACGTTGTTTGGATCGAGTCATTTTTAGTTTTGATTTATTTCAAATCGTCCCTATTTGGACACACTTCAAATCCAATTTTTCAAATCCCTCAATCCAAACAGGGGGCATTAAGTTTATTTAGCCTCGGCGATCCTACTTTTGCAAGACAACGAATCGAGTTACTCGACAAGAAATTTAAAATTCAAAAGCTATATTTAATTTAATTTTTTTTTTTTTGCAGGACATGATATCAGCTGGGATGGACACAACCACGATAGTAGTCGAATGGGGTATGGCGGAGATGGTGCGAAACCCTAGGGTGCAACAAAAAGTACAAGAGGAGCTCGATCGTGTGGTCGGAAAAGACCGAATCATGACCGAATCCGACATCCCCAATCTGCCGTACCTGCAGTGCATGGTAAAGGAGTGCTTCCGGATGCACCCCCCGACCCCACTAATGCTCCCCCACAAGGCGGGCACGGACGTCAAAATCGGGGGCTACGATATCCCGCAGGGCGCCACGGTGAGGGTTAACGTGTGGTCCCTCGCGAGGGACCCCAAGTTGTGGGATGCGCCCCTCGAGTTCAGGCCCGAGCGGTTCCAGGAAGAGGATATAGATATTAAGGGGACGGATTATCGGTTCCTTCCATTTGGTTCCGGAAGGAGAATATGCCCCGGAGCACAGCTGGCGATTAATTTGGTGACTTCGACTTTAGGGCATATGTTGCACCACTTCGAGCTGGCCCCACCGAATGGAGTTAGGGTTGAAGATATCGACTTGATGGAACAACCTGGTACGGTTACTTACTTGCGAACTCCGTTGGAAGCCGTGCTTACGCCGAGGTTGCCTGCTGACCTGTACAAGCGCGTGGCTGTGGGGAATATTTGAGAGGCTTATGATATATTTATGCATGTTTATTTCTTGTTGTATCAACATTTTTCACGTTTTTTTTTTCTTTTTCTATTTGGATGTTTTCTTTTTTTTCTTTCTGGGTGACAATCTTTTGTCCTAAAGTGTATCAAAACTTTGAGAAAAAAAATTAGTTTAATAAATTACCAAAGTGTGGCAAGAGAACTAAATTAGCTTAGATCACAATTCTCAACTGTATAATTGTTAGTTTAAGTACAAGTATTTATTGGCAAGGTACAAAATGATGAAGTATATATAAAATGGCAAATTACAGTCAGTCACTTCTGTGTATGAAAAAATTCCTCATATTTGAATAATTAGAACCACCCACTCACCTATGAATCGTCTTACGAGAAAATACATAACTAAGGGGTGATTGTAATTATCCACATATGATGATTTTTTCGTAATTTGACCTTACTTCAGGGCTAGTGTATATTTGTTTTCTGCCTTAGGAAACTCATACCACCTAATACCACCTAATTCAGTATAATAAATTTAGGGAATTGCTTTTTGCGGTTTGAAAATTGCTATTTGCGGTTTTTAATAAAGCCCCCCAAAAAATACTTTATTTCACTAAAACCCCAAAACTTTCCAAAAAAATCCAAAAACCCCCCTAAAACGCGTAAAAGCTCAACTTGGGCGCCCATTTATGCAGTGCACGCCCAAGTTGGGCGTGCAAGCTGCATTTGGGCGCCCGAGTTGGGCGTCCAGTGCAATTTTTTTTTTTGTTTTTTTTTTTTTTTTTTTAAATGGTCGAACGCCCAAGATGGCG